CCCAGCAGTGGCGCGGCCCGCGGTGGCTGGCACCGTCCCCCGGCTAGTGAGACTGCCTCCTGGCTCCACCTGGCTTCCCTGAAGCTGCTTCTCCCTCTTGCGGTCGCTGGCGAGGAGGAGTCATGTTCCCACACATAGAACGGGTGAGGCGGTTCAGTCCTACTGGATTGTTTGGAGCCCAGACTTTGGCTTATAAGAATTTGAAATTTGAAAAGAAAAAACAAACCCAAGCCTCTTCTCCAGCAGTGGCTAGCATGTAAAACAACCCCTGGGGCGGAGGTTTCACCTGGCAAACCTCTGGTTTTGCTTCTAAAAAGCTTCCTGAGTATATGTTGCAGTCTTGTTTACCTTAGTATATTTTAGCAGGGGCCATAATTCCATTCTCCCCAGTGCTAAAATGTGGGTTAAACCCCACCCCCCCAAATTCGGCAGTAAAATGGAGCATAAGTAGATTTGCCTAAATACAGCAAGGGGTTGGGCCAGGTTATGAAAAAGTTTTCAAATTGCTTCCCTTAAGAAAATCTGCTACCCTGTTAAGCTAGAATCCTGGTTATCCCAACTGTTCATTTGAGGGATTTTTAGAAATCTGCATTAAAGAAAAATCTAAGTTCCCAGCGCTGAAGGACTTACCCCAAATCTCAGATCCTGTTGGCAGAGCTCAGTCTTCATACTTTACTTATTTGTTATTTATTTATTAAAACACTCTATCATCAGTCTGAAATAATTTGATGCTTAGGAGTCCTTTAGTTTAGAGACTGAAAGGTTACCTGAGAGATTTGAGGCTGTGGAAGAATTAATTTGGAAATTAAACAGTAGTTTGAAAGGATAGGCCTTAGTAAAAACAGGAGAGGTTTAAGAGAAAATTTTCTGGGGATGAGTGGTAAAATGGTGTGCAGAGTTTACCTTACCTGTTGAATTTAGGATAATTTCGTTTGAGGTACATATATTTTCTGAACGGGACCAGTGGATAGGAATTTTTAGAAAGTGCTTGGTAGACAGGAATAATCAGCTCAGTGTTGCACTTGTGTTAAGGAAAAGAAGTACAGTGATAGACGTTACGAAATAGTGTTAACCATTTTTTAATCTGGTTTTATGACACATTTTTCTAGAGTTTTCTTTTCTCTTTTGGTTCCTATTTCCCTTCAGAATGAAATGGAGATGAGAATGTGGAAGCCAAATTTTATTTTGCATTTTTGCGCAGCTCCCTTGTTGAAAATTATCTCCTATACAGCCTTTGGTATGAGTAGTCACAGCCTAATGTTACCTGTGTTTCTATGACAACTTGACAGGGGATACTATTAATGGCACGAAATTAATTTAAATTATAAAGCGTCATTTGAAACATTTTAAAGGGTAATAAAAAGTAGATCTAGATTTTTCATAAGAGAATGGTTGGAGGAGTTCTGAAAAGGCTTGCAACAAGGTGTAGGTGTTACATCTTGCGAAGACCTTCAAGACTCCATCTTCATGATGAACATTTCTTTAGATAAGAAAATATCTAAAAGTCAGGGTTTTGTCCAATGTGTGTGGTTTGGCTTTCTTTAAGGTAACTTTGCATATTCCTGCTCTTAGCAACCATACATTGATTTCATAGTTTGATTCTTGGAAGTAATTTTATTTTTCTCATTATCAAGTTTTTAGCAGTAACTTAATCATCGTTTTCCTCTTTCTCCTACATCAGGATTTCTCAGGTGGGTTATAAACCACCTGCATTAGGATTACCTGGGATACCTGTTAAAATGAAGATTCCTTGAATTCCCCAGTTTTGGGGTAGGATATTTGTGTGTGTGGAGGGGAGCAGGGGCATGGATGGCAGGGTGGTTCAGGGTACATTCTTAGGGATGGAGGAGCCTGAATCTCTAAAGATTTCATAAAGCTGAGCTGCTAGAATGCCCAGACTGTCTACCTGTGGACTTACATGTGAAAGAACTAAGGGCCTCTTAAGTTACTCTTAGAGCTGAACCTAATTCTGATTGACAGAATGAATATCACAAAGTGAGATGAATGTAACACCTCTTAAACATGATGAAACATAAAATATGATGAAACTTTTTTTTTTGTAAAATATGATGAAAATTTTTTTTACTACCTAGATAGAGATTATCTGTCTTGGCAAGCTTTCTCCACCCTGCCCATGCAGTTTAATTTTTTTCCCACTAGAATGTAGGTTCCCTGTCAGAGACTACGTCTAGTTTGTTCACTGCTCTATCTCCAGCTGCTAAACAGCACATGATAGGAATTTAATAAATATTTGGTGAAAGGATGAGTTTTTTCTTTGTCACTAAAAAGAAAGCTTGTGTAAGGGTGATAAAATCCTATTATCTTTCCTTCCTGGGAAACTTTTCATAAAATCTTTCTGCATGTTTGTAAGATTTATTTATTCTTGAAGTTTAGCCATTCCACCATGTTGTGTTTACTATGAGTTTGATTTCATGAATCTTGACAAATACTTGGTCTGGTCTGAGAAAATTTTCTCTGTTTCTTTTACATTGTTCCAGCCTGCTTTCCTCCCTGCTTCTGAAACTAGTATTATTGATTGTTTTATTTCCTGGAGCGATCTTATTTTTTCTAATGTCCTTCCTTCTATAATTTTCACTTTATTATTTTTTTCTTTTAAGTTCTGAGAGAATTCTTCCAAATGAGCTTCAAATTCACTGATCCAGTTTCATTTATTCTCTTATCATAACTCACTATAAAGTGCTCAAAATGACCCTCTTCTTTGGACTGCTGATTTTTTCATTGTGTGCATCAATTTTCCTTAATTAATATATTCTTATAAGAGACTTTTAAAAAATTTACCATCAGTCACTGAGATGAGGTTCAGTAAAGTCTGGATAACTCCATGCAAATATTTTAAAATTACTTTTTACTTTCAGTGATTTGTTTCCCAGTCCCTCAGGTATGCAGACAGGTGTTATAGTTTATTGTTGGAAGTATAGTTGACATTTATTCATTGTTTTGTCTGGTAGTTGACTCTCATTTCTTTTGGGAATATTATACTTTGTCATGTGGAGCACTACTTCTCCCACTATAGCATGCATTCTGAATGGACTCTTCCATCTTCCTTGCTCTCAGGAATGAGCCCTATGTCCACCTGGGTCGTAGCATTCTGCTTCCCTAACTCAGTGAGGTGGTACATGACCAAGCTGAGTTAAGCAGAGTCCTATGAGATTTTTTTCAAACTGAGTCAAGAGGGAAGAGCCTTCTCTTTCTGGTGACTAAACTGAGAAGATATGAGGCAGGAGCCAATGGTGGCTTTAATTACAACTGAATGGAGACTTCTGGTCTGGTAAGATGCACTGATGCCAAAAAATGAAACAGAAATGAGAGCTAGAGAGTATAATTTTAGTCTTTCTGAGACTAGCTTACATCTTTAGAATTTGATCACATGATTCTATGTGTGTGTGTGTGTGTGTATACATTTTTTTTTAGTTTGTTTAGGTCTTTGTCACCACGTAAATGTCACCAAGCCAAACTTGCCTGCCCATAGCAACATCAATCTACTTGACACTGGATTGTGGTGAAGGAGAGTGCAGCATTTATTGTAGGCACCAAACAAGGAGTGTGGGCAGATAATGCTCAAAAATCCCAAACCGTCTAATGGTTTCAGGGAAGCATGTTTAAAGGTAAGGTGGTGTGGGGAGTATAGCTCAGCGGTAGAGTGCATGCTTAGCATGTAGGAGGTCCTGTGTTCAATCACCAGTACCTCCATTAAAAACAAACAAACAAACCTAATTACTTTCCCCACCAAAAATAAATAAATTAAAACAATTGGAAATAATTAAAAAATAAAGGCAAAGTGAGGGAGGGGAGTTCAGGGTGCATAATCAGCTTGTGTTCAGTTCTCTAGTTGATGATGAGGTAACAGGGTGGTGTCAGAGGGGTTAACATCATCAGTCCTCAGGCTCCAGCTGTCCTGGGAGCCATGTACTTGTGGTCAGCAAGTAGTTAACTTCTTCCATTTGGTTGGGGTTTAAGTATCTGTAAAACAACTCAGGAATGTGCTTCAGATACTGTTATCTGTGTCCTTCAGGGAGGAACTAAAGATTCTGTGACTGACATATGGTTGATTTACTATTTAAATTGTTATGAGTTCCCCTGTCCCAACTGATATTTTTGTCACTGCATGTTCCATTCTTTCAATCATTAATTCTTGAGCCAGGCTTATGTGACTCAGGGAATTCCTGGGATACTACAGCTATTTTATAAACAGGAGACAGGCAGAGGACATGGGTGTTGGGGGTGGGGAGAGGTGTGTCTGGGGAAGGCCTCATAAAGATCTCCAATAAAACAGAATTTTTCAAGAGTATAATGATGTTTGTATTTCTTAGGGAGGATGCCATTTAACTCCTTAGTAAGATTTTATATCATTCCAGTATGTTACGGAGCTCTATCTAGATAGCGCAGAAGCCATATAACTACACTGGGGAGATGATCAGGATTGCTCACGATTAGGTGCTGGTCTTCCTGAGGAACTTCTCATATGTTTGACAACTCAGCTATTTCTGTGACCTATAATGTTTTGTCTTTCTTGGGGAGTTTTACTTCCTGAGACCTTTAATTTCCTGCCTAGTACACAGTAGATGGAAATCCCTAACTTATTTGTCCAAAGTTTCTAGTAAAGCTCATGGTCTCAAACACACTATCCAAGTCTACTGATGCTTGGGAGGAGAAGGAGGATGATGGGACCTGTAGTTAGGTTACTGTAGCCCATATTTTTCTGTGTCATGTCTGTGTGTGACAGAATAATTTACAGGAAAGAAACATTAGGAGTTGAAAAGACTTTGAAGAATTCAATTATCTGATTTTCTTTTCCTATGCAAGATTGCATTAGCCAGCTTCCAAGACAGCCCCTACTGATTCATGCTTCCTGGTATTTATGTCCTTGTGTTACCCCATCACAAACCAAGCAGGACTGTGCAACCAATAGGATACTGCAGAAATGACAATGTGAATATTGACAGTAGCTCATAAAAGAAATTCCTGCTCCTGTCTTGCTATCTCTTGGATCTTTTGCTCTGGGGGAAGTTGGCTGCTATATCCTGGGGCCATTCAGGCAATCATTTAGAGAGGTCCCTGTGGAGGGGAACCAAAGTCTTTGAAGGTTTAACAACCAGCACTGACTGAGTGAGCTACCATAGAG